AGGCTGATCTTACACCGGGGGGTTGGCATATTGCATATAGTATAGTACGTTGTGTTAAGTGTCTTACAGTTTAATAGTTCGTTAATGCTGTTTTGATCTTTTTGTGCAATTATAGTACTGTGCGGCAACCAGAACTGGGTGTAGACAGCCCAAAGGCAATTGCTCTACCAATTTATTTGATCCAATATGCTGTATTAAGTTCAACAAAAATCACCTTATAGATCCATAATAGCTACAAAGGATTTTGGTCAGAGAAACAGGTCTGCATACCAGCTTTAGATACTTGAAACTACAACATCTGGATCAATCTGGCATAAATCATGATAAGACACTTGACTCGAACCCTGCTTCCGAGATTTTCCCACCTACATGGCCCAAAAAGAAAACCTCGGCACCACCCGCATGACACGCCGAACGCGGAACGGATCTGGTCTGAAGCCATGAAACACATGAAATGTATCTATGCCAAAAAGACAATGGGACCTGATCTGACCCTATAAACAAACACGCATATAGTTATACCATATGTTATACCAATATTCCGAGGTACTTTGAGACTCCAGGTGTATCCGGTATATCTGACAGATTTCTTGGCTCCCCTTTCTACTTTTCCCCAGCTTTGACATTGGGTCGAGGAAGCGACAAAGACGAGGCCGGTTTTTGGGCGTTTGACATTGGGGCGAGGAATGGGAACCTTCAGAACGCTTCAATCCAAGATTCGGACAACTCCACCGAGATGTAGCCTAAAGATGTTGTGCCATGAGGACAGATCTTGCCTTAGGACATGCAAAACGTCGCTTCAGCGGAACGGGTTTTCTTGAAGTTCCGACCCGTGTGATGGCCGGACGCATGACTTGGGAGAAAAGGTCCTCCTTCAGGACTCTTGGAGAGGATCATGAGGTGAAAGCGACTATTTCCTGGCTTTCAAAGACCAGTCAAAGAGTTCTGCTGACCTGTAGTCTAAAATCCTTACAGTAAGTAAAACTGTAAAACCATAGTTGTTCGGGATTCCTCAACATTGCAGGACTCCACGACCTAAACATTGCATGGAGTTGGAATCATCTCCGGATGTTCATCGCCTGGACCAGTTTGTGTGGAGTTTTGCTCGCCACTGACCACGTGGTGTGTGTGTGTGTTGGGTCGTTGATCTGAAGCTGGATGCCGGTGAGGGCCAAAGAGAACACTGAGTACTGCCCAAAGTTAAGCCACAGCCAACTTTCGGACGCCCTTGTCAAGCAGGACTCACTCCGCGGTCCTGTTTATGGTTTGCTTTTTAGAGTATCTTTTTTGCATTTGTGGACCTTTGAGCAGTTTGTGATAGCCCAATAGCCTCAACACAACCCCTGGAGTACAAACCAAAAGGGACTATATATACATGCACAAAAGGTGCTTGGACAGAACAACGTATCATCATATTTAGGCTATATATATATATACGGTTTTAAACCATGTTAACAAGAAACTTTCCACCAAGACTTGCACAATTTGAGGAACATCACAGCCTGAATCCGCAGAACCTTGTACAACCGCCCTCCAAGTGTGCCAAAATCATCCAAAACGCATGCACTTTGGCCCTGAAGATCTTGATAACTGCCAATTCCACAGCGCTTGCAGGTCGTGCTCCCATTCCTGACTGCCACTTCACAACAGGATCTGCAGCCACATGTTAAGCAGGTTAAGCTTGCATGACACGGAAATAACAACTAAAATAGGGTGGCGGTGGCAACCTAATCTGGTGATATCTGGCGATTATACTCCATTTCGATGCCAACTCTCTGTTTCCGCTACAAAACAAGCACATAACCTATGGTGTGGGTAACGCACCGCCAAGACATTGGTAGTTGAGAAGAGCGCCTGGGGTGTTTGCAAGTACAACCAATGGAAGGCCATCTTCTGACTCTACCGGTGCTATTCAATTGGATCAATCCAACAGAAGCGCCACAAGAATCCAACATGATACTCTGAGAGTATGCAACCTGAAACCTACCAAATATCAGAACAGTGGATCAATCACACACGAACTATGCCATATAATTGCAAACTTCAATTGTACCGAAAGGCTCATGGCGTCATCATGGCGCTGCACTCTTCCTTCGATTCCCGGACACCATGGCGAAACTGATGTGTTCTTTTGAGTTTCTCGGAGATCGGACCCGGGACCCTACCTATCTGACCAAATCTGACCAAATCCTGGCGTCGCTCGACAGGCGTCGCGAGTTTTGCTCATGGCCCCCCCCCCCCGCGCGGGGGTTCGGTCATGGCCCCATGTGTGGTCACTCTCCGAAAAGTGCAACAGTTCCTCGGACGGTTCTGGAATATCTCGCTGCAACGGCCCAACAAAGACAATGACGCAAGACATATTATCCATCGGCGCATTGGAGCCTCCGCAAAAAAATGAACTTAATTGGAATAACGTGGAATAGTAAGAAGACACTAGACTAAAACCATCTACTGTTTTAAAAAAACATTGGTTGGGGGCTCTCTGTATTTCAATACACACCCATATAAGCCAAAAGGATTCTGATTGATGTTCGCACGACCATAGCATAGCATAGCCAAGATAGTACGAGTTTCAAGAACATCACATTGTGTGATGTGAACAAAATCGGACTCCACTGTTTTTCTTTTTCAGAAGGGGTATCCAACATGTTGAACCGGTGAACAGTGCGCGGCATGCAATGTTGCTTAAGGGTGCGAGGTGTTCGATCGAAACCAGTGAAAACAAGTATAGTTTCTAAGAGATCTAAGCGGTATCGAGCAGCAGTCATCCTGAGATTCCTTCGCAAACCCCGGATCCCGAATCCGGCTGTGGGGTGCATCTATCTCAAAAAAAACAAATTGCCTGCAAACAAGCTTCTTGTCTTGATATCGTCCCTCTGGGCACGGATTGCAAGACAACCTTGGCGTGTGAAATTCTCGGAAAACGAAGCAAGCTCATAACCATCGAAAACCATCGCTGGTCTGGAAGGTTCGGGAAATAGACCAGTCATGACCAGTCTACCCAGCTAGGGCCAGGGGGTCTCTTTCCCTATTGACTATTGACATACAAACCCAAGTGGCTCATCGTTGGTGCTGTGGCTGATGGCCTTATGGGGCCCTGGTTGATTCCAAATTATGAACTACTACACGCAGTGATTCGCAGGCATGGACCAGTGTCAACCTAGCATGCTTGGCTTCCTTGCTTACAAGCATTGAAGATGTTCCCATGTGTGTGTGTGTGTGTGCAGGTAAGTGTGTGTGTGTGCGTGCGTGTGTTTGTGTGTGGACAGCAAGGTGTTTGCCACACACAACAAATGGTTGGGAATTTGCTGTCAAACATCACCAATGTTCAAAGGACAAATAGGGCACAGAATTGGTACCCTTCGGATCAATTTGGACCGGCACTCACCTTTGTCAGCCGAGGTGCGAGGCATTCTGCGCCTGAAAAGTGCCCAAGCCGCAGGGGAGGCAAAGGTAGGTTGACTGACCTCCATCAGTTCCTTAGGCCAAGGGAAGTCGAAAATCCGATGCCAAAGTAGGTGAAACAAAAATTGCCTGCGCCTGCGCTGCGCTTAAGCAGGTGGCACGTGCAAACTTTTGGAGCAGCTGGCTGGGCTTTCGCTCGCTGTGTTGCGAGGTTTTGGTACCAAACTTCACCAATCCATTCGATCTCCAGGCCGTCAAATCACTATAGACTATAGGCCGTCAATATAACTCCCAACAACTCTCACACCTGGACCACCTGAAAAGGGTTTCGTCGCAACGAAGGATTTCTCAAAACTCCCCCACTTTTCGCCCCGGGTGCCCTTCTCATACTGTCTCTTTTTGGTGTGCCCGTCTCGTTCTCGGCTCTGAAAGGCAAGAGAAACACAAAGACCCAAGGATTCGTAGCATAGATTAAATATACAATGGTCTTTACTTTACCCAACAAGGATGGTATGGACTAAGGTGTTGTTGTTCTATTACAAAATTAGGTCCACGATGTTTAACCTGTTCTTTGACAGGGAAGATATTGGCAACATTGGGCACATCATGGCACATCCTCAAATGGTTTCAATTCGTTGGATCTCTGAGCCCGTTGGTTTCCGCTCCAAAGAACCACATGAACAACTCCACAACCGTGATGAACCACACCCAAACTGGTTGCCTGCGTTAATCAACTCAGTTCTTCATGTCCGTACCCATCTTAAAAGAACCTGCAAAACCGCCTGAGATGGGACAAGTGACTGACCATCTATAGTTGCTAAAGCCAGTGATACCTTATCAGTCGATGATCCTGCCTGGCTTCCCACCCATCCTCACCACCCCCACCCCCACCCCCTACGGCCCCCCGCATCCTGCCCAGCGGCTGGCGGAGAAGTAGCCCCCCTCACAGGGTTGGCAGTCCAGGTCTCCCGACGCGAAGGGAAGCGCCTCCGCGCCCACGAAAGCACCTCCGACGGCACAACGGCGCGTCGGCGCGGGGTTCGGGTGCCGCGTTTGGGCGCGAGCGAGCCGAACGGACCGAGGGAGTGCCTTTTGACCTGCTGGATCGGGTCAAGATGTGTCAAGCAAGAAGTCAGGAGGATCAATCCAGGCACAGTGGAAACTTAAAGAACATCGCAACACGTCGTGTGTCGCATCGTGCGACCTCGGAAGAAGTCTGGAAAGGATTCCTGACTTTGACGAGATTTCGTAGAGACTCACAAGGCCTGTTGAGGCAAAGAAGGCCTGGGTGGCTGGCCACCATTGCTCACAAGTTTCATCGACTACTCCCATGATCTCCCATGTACTTGATGTATCTTGACCAAAATCTTCATGTACTTGACTACTCCCAAAATCTCCCTTGTCTTGGAAAACAAGCCTCTCACCAGTCAGTCCAGCTCCGGGTGGCGATGCGAACTTCAATTACCTACCAAGCTGGAGATGTACCTTCTCAAAGGACGACCTGATCACCTAAAAGTGGACCACCTGTTGGCGACCAGGGCGAAGACCGCCCTGTTGGCGACATGGTGGAAAACCATGTGTCGGTTCAACGCGTGTCGTTCTCCCAATCGTTGCCAAGGAGCCAGTGGTCTGGTCAAAAAGCCCGAAGTGCTCTGAGCATGACGCGGGGGCCGGTAGCCTTAGGCTGTGACACATGGCTGAAGGCGTTGAATGGCTTTCAGGTGTATGTGGAAGATGGGCAAGCACAATGCAGTTAAAATACTGTAAGAATGTACGCGTATGTATGCCCTTTGATTCCCGGTGTAGGAACATAATCTTCTGGTAGGAAAGGTTTTCTGAATTAAAGAAAGCAAACAATAGACCCCATAGAAACCCTACGTGAAAAACAAACACTGATTCAATATATTACAATTTGTATAACTTGAGAATATATCCCATTACCAGCAACAGTGGATGATGATGGTTAGCAAAGGCCTTTCTCAAAAATAGTTATTATCCTTTACCGACTGTTACTGGTATGGGCTACACCTTATAACATAATATAACATTATGTATAATATTACATAATTCTATAGAACAACATGGAACAACACAATCAACACCTCTGTGAAACAAATGTTAGATCATCTGTGGCCGCCATTGGCGCACATGAAACCCGCAAATCCATAAACAAACTGTTTTTTCCTATGGTTCTACTTCTTTCCCCTCCAGCTACATGACATGGGGATGCCTCAATGCCAGGACAGTGTGATCAATCAACACTCATCAAATTCCACTTTCACTGTCCTTGGTGGCTTCCTTAATTTTGCCGAGTTCGTACTCGTACGCATATAAATACTCTGCAGGTGCCAAACGAGTTTGAGTGCACACAAATCAGTGTATCCACTAAGTGCGGGACTCCGAGCCACCAACAAAAACTGGTTTGATTCATGATTCAAGTCAAGATAGACCCCAGCATAGACTCCTGAACCAAGCGTTGTTTGTTCCTTTTCCCACCGAGAGGCCAGGTCTGCCAAAGCTCCTGGTTGCCCTGCAGCCATCGACAGGCCACGGTCTGGTACGAGTCTCCGGAGGTCACTTGATCCTGGCACTGTCGCTCCGGTGCAGCGTGGGGAGGGGGAGGCAGCCCGCCCGTGTTGGGGTATGAAGAATCAGGCTCCTTCCGTCTGGATTTCCCATTGAACACCTCTTGAAAGGTATAGGAACTCTTTCCATGGATGGTGTGTTGCTGCAATTTGCTGGAGATGTTCTGCCAATGCCCTGGTGTTTGCAGTAAAACAAGTAGTTCAACCCTCCATGTAAAAGGCGTGAACCATGTCGTTGTCGGCTTGGAAAGTCTTCAGCTGAAATCCGGCCACTTAAATTCACTGGCTAGCTAGTTCCCGCTCCCGCCTCCAGTAGCCCGTTCACCGCGGACAAGGGGAGCTGAAAGGCCTCCAACCTAGGCATTCGAAGTCACAATGATCCACATGTTGTCGCTGCTGTTGCCCCTCTGCTGTTCTTGTCGACATGTTCTTGTGTCTTGCATTGCAGCGTGCAGCTTTGATCGTACGTGATTGTTGTGTTGTTCTCCGTTGTGGCTATTGGTTCGCGGTGATGTTATGTTTATTGTCGTGTCTTTGTTGTGCTGACTCTCGAAGGTCTACCCCCCTACTGTAAGTCTCATTCCATTGACCTTGCGGTGCCCCTATGTTGGTCACCACGGACAACAAACATGGAAGACGGATACGGTATGGTAGAGTCATAAACAAGAATCCGCCATGCTTCCAGGTTACGTTGCATCCCCACCCTGTGCTCTCCGGTAACTCAGACGGTCGCATCGGATCTTCACCAAGCAACAGCTGCAGCACCTGCGGTGCCATGAGAGCCAGGTCCTGCGGCAACCCGGAGCTCCGTTTCAAAAAAAAACACAGCCGATTGGAGAATGCCAGGGCAAATGATGCGGAGCTTTGGTGCAGAATACTTCTTAAGGAATCATACAGTAACTTGTACAGAATAACTAGCTAGCTCCAGAACTAAGGCACTCACAACACTCATACCATATCGTTCTCATCCTCATCTCCACCAAACAAAAAAAAATAATGAATTCATTCCCAGACCATCCATGTATGGCATGGAATAGTTACATATGAATTATATGAATAGTTACTTACATGGATGGGTCATAAATGTGGTACATAAACCAAATAAATGTACCAGGAGCATCCAATGGGTCTGAAAATAGACCACCCTATCACTACATTTGAGGCTTTCCATCCCATCGCACTCGGTCGACCACTCGACACGGCGTCGGAGCATACGACGAGATGAGCGAGATCGCGAGACGCGGTGCACGGCGGATGGTCGCAAAGGTGACAGGTCTAAGGGGTCCAAGCTGTACCAATAGGGGTCTAAAGGGTGTAAGGGGTCTAAGTCTGCGAAAGGAAGAGAGTACCAAGCCGTACCAAGTCTTGACCCCCCGCCCGGAGGGGTTTTGTAGGCCTCCTCAGGTGTTTGGTTTAGACCAAGCGAAACCACACCCAAAGACCTAAGGACGTCTAAGGAGGTACAGTACTTGGAGCCAAACGGGCATGGATTTTGAGGTGTGGAAAAGGTGGTTTCATAGCAGTGTTCTTTGCGCCGCACATATGAAGACGGCGGCCTTATGCAAAGTTATCAACCACGAGTTCAACCATACAAAAACAAAAGGCCTTAAGACGCTTAAGATACATAATGAATCATTGAATTGAAACAAACAATCACAAATCTAAACTCTTCCCTGGGGTCACTGGGATAGCAGGTCCGCTCCGACATTGGCCCCTTTTGGAACCTGACAGCACTCTGGTCGCTCCAAGCACTGGCCTGGCTCACGTACTTGTCCACGGAGACCTGCAAACACAAGCACGGCGGCAAGGTTCTGAGAGTCACCAGGTGGACCAATAGGTGGCTCCAAAGACGTCGCCATGAAGACATTGCCTTGTCCGACATGTCGCTTCCAAACATCCGACTGCTCACCCTTGAGTGTTTTCCACATGAGAAAGGAGTCAAGGGTCCATGATGTCGACTTCAACGCATCAAGTCTCTGCACAAGAGGCCATAGTTTACTGGGATGTGTTTAAGGAACCGACAAACAAATACAACATATATTCCCCATGCCAGGAGATGCACCCATATGCAGGGAACATTGCAAATACCCGATCCACAAAACCAATGTGCATATCATGTTTGGGCTCTCATGATTTTGTGTTTCTTGGATAATGTTTGGCGTGTTCCGTTGACCATACCTCACCGAAAAATACGGTGACATGTGAACAAACCCACTTCCTGTTTAGTATTTATTGATATAGACGTTAATTGGTAATTTATAACAGGTAACCAGCTACCAAGTTGTACAAAGTCTACACAAACTGCCCGCTCAACCACTCGCATGATGAACACACCACGCGGAACTGCAACAATTACTTTGTCTGATTTGAAGAGTCTTTGCCCACCCATGACTTACATCAGCCAAACCTGATACTGATACAACCAAAAAAACACAAACAAAAACCTTACCTGAAAGTATGGGCCTATGAGTATCGTACACCTGGACATCCTGGACCCTTGAAATTACCTTCGAAAATGGGACATGACCCTATACATCCTATACAAAAACCGGTACTTGTTCCCATTTTCTGAGGTACGTGTCTCGACGTCGTCGCCTCGTCGTCCCAAAACCGGCCCGTTCCACCTCCGGCGCTGCGGTCTGGTAATCCCCAGCAGCATGAGCCATCGGGTCGTGGCGGGGTCCAATTAACTCCATCGGCTTCAGTGCCTGGGCTCTGTGGAGTTGGCGCAGGTGGAACCAGGTGGAACCTGCCCTGCAACTGGTTGGTGGGAGTACCTGGAGGCGCACTACGCATGACTCTGGGAGATGGATTTCTGAGATATGCACCTGAGAGACGCTCAACTCACAATGGGGGGTGGTCATCCTGGCCTGCAAGGGAACAAGCTGCTACAAAAGTGTCAAACAAAGCTCGATCGCACTTCATCTGATTTCCTCTACGATCTTGTTTTTCAAGAAGAAGTAGTCCGCAGCCACTCCCACGTTATTTTTCGTACACAGCTTGGCTTAGGAATTGGTCGACATCGTGTCACGTTTTCGGAACGCAGTATGCAGAGTAATTATCAGGAACGGCCAATTAGATCCAATTGTATAGGATCAATTTTCAGATGAGAAATGAAGATCATGAAGAGCTCCGGAGTTCACAAATCGTAGAGGCGCCTGGAAGAGATCTCTTTGATATCCCAACTTTCCTCCACTTCCCGACAAATCTTGCAGCCCTGGCCAGAACATTCCAAAGTCGTCCATAAAAGGATGCACTTCCGGCCCCGAAATGACTTCGATCCGCTGAAAAGCTTGATCTATCCAGCTCACTCTGCAGCTGACCACTTCCCCTTTTTGGTGCATCCTCTCGGCGAACACCGCCTGCATCAGCCGCCGACATGACGCATCCGCATCGCCCGGAGCATCGTCACACCGAGCGTCCAAAAAGGTGGAGTCAGGGACCCACCAGTAGAAGAGGCTCGGTGAGACCTCCCTGGGCAACGCCTCAGCCACCCCGAGACTGGAGAGATTGGCCGTGTCGGGTCAGAGAGAAGAAGGGAAAACGGTGGAGATTGGGTGTGCAGGGTCTTCATTGTTGTCATAGTCTGGAGAAGACGATCAAAGTAATCACACACTGTGAGTCGTCAGAGTAGAAACACACGCAAAGTCGTCAATCAACAGTTTGGGATGGTAGAATCATGAACTTGGAGGAAACACCTATGAAAGCCATTGAAAGCCTAATTAAGAGGTGTACCAACCACCAGATTCTCATAGTTCTTTTGGCTCAACCTGCGGCTATTCCTGTTGGCTCAAGCTGCCTCTTTTTGAGAGGGCACCAAAAGACCTGGAGAATCTCTGGCCCTTGCATTTGGGACCTGTGACAGCAGGAATTGAAGTTGAAACAAAAGACATTGACTCAGGTGATTTTTTTTCCTTACAGGGATGTAACGTAACCATTGTCCTTCCAAAGACTCATGTGCAGGGTGGACCTGTCTTTCAGGTTTTTCAAGTACAAAAGTACCGCGAAGTACCCCAGTGGCTGTCCACAGCTGAAACCGAAACCACTGAAATGCCTAGATAAGGAAATCATCGGCCCAGGCGCCACAAGGTCCTCCTGACTCTTGGCCACCGCCATGCGCAGCGGCAACTGCCAGGCTGTGGCCTTCTGCATACCTCGGCTTCACAGCGCCGGGCCTTTTGTGCGATGGAACGACTGGCTTGAACACGACTAACTCAAGAGGAAAATCATGCTGGTGAGCTATGAAGCTTTGTAGATCCATGAATTGCCATGAATTCTCCATGTACGCTGGAGGCTCGAGGTGCCTGGAAACACGGGATGCGGACCTCTTTGATCCTCTATGTATTATTCTTTCAAAACAACGGAAGGGCACCAAAGGCATCACAGACTTGAAGTGAAGACCAGTAGACTCGATTCGCAGACGGGTGGACATCCATGGACAAGGAATATGGACAGTACGTGGAAACTAGACACATAGACGATCATCCTGTTTGGAATATAGTTTCCAGATCATCTAGAAACTGCTGCAAAGCAGGGTCTGTGGTCTGAAAACCTTCACTGCAAGAATGCCCCGGCTCGGTACCAGTACTGTGGGGGTACTTCGACAGTCCATGGCACCCAACGATGCACTCCACATCACATGGGCTGGTGGAAAAAAGAACGAGGTTGGAGGAAAAACGGTCTTCCCATGCAGGAGAAAAACTCAATCCTCTTCCAGGCTACAACAGGTTGCAATATATTCAATGAGTCTTGGAGTGGCATCCCCACATGCCATGTGTGCAGGCGGGGTGTCAGCCACTCTTATGCGAACGTCAGCCACTTGCGCCAAGGGTCTATCTTCCAGGTTCCAGCCATCCTGACGCACATTACTTCTGCACTGCACAGCCGTTCGGTCTTTGGATCACTGAAAGATGGATGGGGCTACAGAATAGATCACCCAGTGGGTCACCTAGCTTCTAGCAATACATTCACGTGCATATACTGCATTTATATATACAAACAACATATTATATATATAATACTATATATATATATAATATAGTATATATATATACTTGAATCTTCCTAGGTCTGTCCCTTTTCAGTCTGCGAAGGGACATCCGACCTCTTTGGACCCGCTCCGGATCGGATCCCTTTCGGGTGCTTTGGCAGATTCGCCGGAAGCGTGGGGGGAAGCGTGCTGTGTTTCGCCCAAACCAAGTCCCGAGGATCTGAATGTTTCACCGCGAGGTACATTTTCACCCTGGAGGAAACGTCTCGGGATTCTCTTGGTGTTTTCCGGTACTTGTGTTTCATTCTGGTTTTGGAGGCTTGTCAAGTTGTCAAGTCGGTTTGGGTACGGAATGGTTCATGCAATGGCCCATAGGCCGACTCATCCTTTGCTAATTCAATTCAATGCCCGAACTCTTTTTATGGTGTCGGCGTGGGATGTTTTTTTCTTCCCCGGATCAACATGTGTGGCAGTCTGGCCTCGGACTGGAAAACATCATCATATACAGTATGTACACATGCAAGCACGCACCACCCCCTGATATAATGTGAGCCTGTTGCGTGATGCAAACTACCACCCAGAGTCTATGGATCCTCAAACTTAGCACGTTTCGGAGGCAGGGTCAAAACCCAGCAAAAGGTACGGGAGAGCGGATTAGTCCTTTTTTTGCAACTGAAGGAATGTCTAGAGTGTATATAGATGGTCATGCAATGGAACAATTTGGTGCTGATCGGGTTGAGCCGTTTACAGAATTGGACAAAAACACAAGAATGGTCGAGCAAAATCCGATTGAAAGAATCTTCTGTTTCAAACCGGTTGGTTTCAAAACGAATGGTGTCTGTCAGATGCACCTTTATAACTACCTTTGTATGTTTTGCACCTGTAGTTTCAAAGGCTTTGTCAAATCCAACTCCAACAATAGACCATAATCTAAATCCATGGGAGGTTGGGTTTCGCGCTGCTTCACGAAGTTCAAGGCCCGCATTCCTTGAAAATACAGCCACACGGAACATCATAGGTGCCGGCGATCCCCAAAAGATTGGTGCAAATTCTGTGTCCAATCTGTTCAAAGCTGGAACAAAAGCTGGAACCAAACCAAAAACTAAGGAAAACATGTTAAACAGTATGGTACAAACACAAAAATTGCAACTACATTCAACACACATTAGTTTACATTCAACCTCCCCTTGAAGGTAGGACCCCTTTTGACTCCTTTTTGGATCGCCAAGTCGCCCCTCCGGTGAAGAACATCACACAGCGGCCAAGCCCGCGACATTTGGGCGCCAGCCAGAAGAACTCCTCGAAACACCTGGGAGAAAACACGGAGTTTCAACTAGCAAGATGGTCAAGCCACAGTCGTGGCTGACCTTGTGGCTAAATGCCTGAATTGGAGCAGTCTGACGTGTGGAATGTAAACAAAAACCGTGTTGAACATGCTTTTACATACATTCCACATATACCAGGACCCTCCAACAGGTCACCACCTGCCTCTTTTAAGCCTACAAAAGCCTCCGAGGAGACCTGTTGGGGGGTGCTGGTATAAATGGTCCATCGTGGCGTGTTCATGAGGATTTGGGAGAACAACATACCACTTGTTTGTTCTCAACAGTCTCCTGTCTGCTCAGTTGATGCAAATCAGTTGATTTGATGCAACTCAGTTGATTTCGTTGGGAACTTCTTGAAGAGTTAAAGCTGGAACTGGTTTTCAGTTCTTATGGCTCGCAGTCGAGCGTCTCTGTCTGGAAGGAGGCCCAGGCCACCCACACAGACGGACCAGAAAGGTCCTGGATGCCTTCTTTTCCCCTGTCCAACAAGTCTAAGCCGTGTTGTGTTTGAAGCGATCTTCAAGAAAGCATCTGTGTAAACACTTCCGCAACCAAACAGGGCTAATTCTTGCCGTTTCATCATTTTGTGCCTCGCAGCTCATATCAGAAACAGGGTTGTATAGTAGCCTCTTGGAATGGACATCAAACAAACGAAATTGATCTCATCTCAAACTTCTTATATAGTTATCTTTTGGAAACCGATTGACATCAGAACATCAATCCGTCAGTTGGAAGTTGAACTGATCCCGTTTCCAACACATCAAACAACTGAAAACTTCACTGGGGACGCCGCTGGCGGCGCATGGCCAGCCCTGCCCTGCCCCGCTGACGACGCTCTGTCGCGCCTCCCGTGCAGCTCACCCGTGGAGTTGTCCAGGCCATCAAGGTCGCCAGTGACACGCAGGTAGCCAGTCATCAGGGAACCTGTGGCACTGGGTCGGTGGCTCTGGTGCGGCAAATATTTATATATTTATCTATATATATATATGTATATACTGCCAAGTGTGTGTATATATATATATAGAGAGAGAGAGAGTCATGGAGTTCTGTATGTTATTGAAAGGTATACATTTATGGCACATGGTATAGATACATACATAGGGCGTCTGGTCTATTGGGGTCAAAGGGTGGTGTGCGTGTATATCACTTCTGTGCCGCGTAGAACGACGGATCAGCCAAGCAATGTTAATTCGAAGCTTGTGTTCGTAGAGCGACATGGTGGGGACACTAGCGAGTGGTGCAAGGAGCTCCTGGTAGCTCCGAACGGCTCCGCTCCGAATCGCTCTGAGATCCGTTGGATGTGACGGTCCAAGCCGGCAGTATCGGTATCACAAAGGTCTGAACGGTTGTGATATCACATGGTATCACAAAGACCGGTTGAAGATTTGTGAGTAGTACATAGTACTAATTAGTCCGTACACTCCCCTTTTCACCTCCCAAAAAGGGCTTCAAGGCGACTGGAAGGAGCTTTCGAGAGCTTTCAGCGATGCTTCTCTGGCCAGTGCCGCTTCCTCTTTCACAATGTTTTACATTCATTGCATCTCATTGCTGTCCAAGCACACCCGTGACCCGCCCTACAGTTGCCAGGATGCTGGACATCAGCCGTGTCTCGTTGCAAAATTTCAGGCGCTCAGTGACTGAAGAGTCCGAACCATTCACCTGTCGCATGGGATGAGATGAGAGACAACAAACTGATATGCTGGTTTTAAAAGCGAAACTGTCTGGCATAATGTTGGATCTTGATTAGTAATAGGGCCCTCTATAATGCTAAATTTTGGAACAATAATTCTTGACACCCTGTTTGTTTTAAGGGTCCTCTATTATGCTATTTTTTTTGGGATCCTAATTTTATATTATCTGAAAAACAATTAGGGTTAAGTATATGTTATTTAGGAAAATATAAATATTAAGTTGGCTTTCTGAGAGTATTGATAAGTATAGTATAGGTTTCCATAGGTCTTCTTCAAAACTGACAGCTTCCCAAAACCATCAATTCCCTAATCAATCCTGTATGAAAAGATTGCTCCTAAACAAATTTTCAAGGTAGTAGACCAGGAAGGCCCGTGATCCTCAATAATGAATTTGTTTTAAGGGTCCTCAATTGTGCGACATTGTGCGAAGCTTTTTCCTGAAGAAAGATAAAAATAGTAATTCTTAATACTACCAAGCCAATGGTTGGCTTTCTGAGAGTATTGAAAACTATAGGTTTCCATAGTTCTTCTTCGAAACTGACAGCTTCCCAAAACCATCAATTCCCTAATCAATCCTTTATGAAAAGATTGCTCCTAAACAAATGTTCAAGGTAGTAGACCAGGAAGGCCCGTGATCCTCAATAATGAATTTGTTTTAAGGGTCCTCAATTGTGCAAAGTGTTTTCCTGAAGAAAAATATAGATAGTAATTCATCACAGCTGATCCTCATAGCATTATAAGTAGTGCTACTACTACTACTGCTGCTGCTGCTGCTGCTGCTGCTACTCCTATTACTACTACTGCTACTACAACTACTACAACTACAACTACAACTACAACTACTATTATTACTACTACTACTACAACTACTACTACTGCTACTACTACAACTACAACTACAACAACAACAACTACTACTACTACTACTACTACTACTACTACTACTACTACAAAGAGAGAAAGGAAAATGAATACTACAATCAATCACAAAAGGAATCCTCCTAGGAACCCAGATATGTTTTGGTGGTAGTTTTTTTTATAGAGACTCCCATCAAGATCCAACACTAAGGTGGGAGGCCATCGCTCTTAGGTTGGAGGCCATCGCCATCACCATGATTACTATTTCCAATGCTTCCTGGGGGCTCCAGGCTCCAGGTGTTGAGAATTTCCAGTTTCAGAGGCCAAAACACCGTGGGAGTGCGGCCACGGCCACGGCCCAGCAATCTTTCCGCTCCATTCCATCCTCGCCTGGGCAAAGTACTTTGTAGCATCGTGCCAGGTGGTATTGTAACCTTGGCGCCGGTGTCCTGGTGATGAGATGATGTGGTAAGTCATGCTTAGATAAGCAAGTATTTATACCCTGTGAGTTCAGAAGGTGTTAGTTCCGGTGTCATCTGTTGGAGTCAGAAGCCAAGCCGTGTGAGTCAGTGATAGCCGTGAGCTCAGAAGCTCCGCGATAAACAGTCATCTCTGCCTCATGCACTTGCCAAGACATTGGAAGAGTACGACTTTGTACCTCACCCCTATTGAAAAGTGCTACCTAACCCCTGTCATTGGGTTATAGTGATGCCTATGGCCCTGGCTGATGTTTTTTTTCATGTTTGTTTTTGTTACATTCTTAGTTGTTTTTTTTGGGGGGGTACACATAATGCCTTTGCAGAAATGTTGCAATATTCTTATTAGCACCGCGTTCACCAGTCTTTTTGGTTCTCAACGCCGACGCCAAGCCACTCAAATAGAACTGCAAGGCCAGGCCCTCAGCCTCATACGCAGCCTCCTGCACCTTAGCTACAGGATCATCTTCCCCCTGTTGAACTTGGCTCCCTAATTATGTCAAATCCGCCTTTTTGAGGTGACTTGAGTACTTGAGATACCAATCCAGTCGAGTCCAAACAGTCTTTGTCCAAACTATGCGCCGTCCAGTGGGACGCAGTCACCTGCGCAACAGTGCCGTTTGGTTTGCACTCTTTAGTCGGACCTGACGTGTGGCCTGACCTCTCTTGCCACGAGTCTACATCTATGCCAACAACAATCATACGAGTAGCAATCGACACACACACACACACACATCATATCACCAAAGAAAAACACAAACAAACATAAACAAACAAAGAAACATATTGAAACGTTACAGCTGGCAGGTTGCTTGAACCACCACCACCACCACAACCACAAAGGCTGTCGATTGTTGCCATCTACGACTGCAATCCCGGGCACCTCTCGTGGCAAATAGATCGACCTGGCCCAGCTGCAAAGCCGACTATCTCACCATGTGCGTTTCATAAGCACCACAATGGGCAACCTGTATGGGTTTCTATATAGCGGTGCAATTCAATTCATGTCAGAACCTATAGGAATCTGTGAGCAAAGAAAGCATGGATGATTTGCCATCAGGCTCATTAATCACTTGCCACCTCTTGTTGGCTTATGGGCATTGCATTGCACAAGCACATGCCATGGCCCAATCGGCTTTATCAGGCTTTGGAGCCATACTCATCACAAATATACTTTTGGCAAACGAAAGCCTACTGCAGTACTACTGCTCTGAGATATTGGTAGTACTGGTGCTCCTTGAGTACAGTAAGGCAATAAGGCCCTTCAAAACAATGGCCGCTTTTCACCGCAATGACCTGGGACCGGTCCTTCAATTCGAAGCAAGTTACATCGAGGACCGGGTTGTTCACTGTTACATCGAGCTGTCAAAGTGAAGAAATCCTCCAACCCCCCGCATGAAACACATGACTCAAACCAGTTTCCCCAAGACCAGCAATGACGCTGTCAGTCATTGCTTCAACGACTGCAGCAACGGAGCCACGTCGGATGGGACATGGTCACGCCGGTCACGCCGTGGGTTGCGGGTCTGCATCACTCCGTGCGTGTGAAAGGCGCCTCGTTCCGAAGTAACCCATGTTTCCCAGGTTCCTGGCGCAAGGAGGCTGAGAGAGAGGTCCAAGTAAGAGGCAATCACGTGATTTCTGGATAATTAAGGGATCTTGCTGATCTACGTAAGTATGCATGCTTTTACCTGGCCCGAAGCCGACCAAGTGACATGGATTGTTTGGAAACCGAGACGTTGTGTCTCTTCGTATCAGCCAAAAATCATGGATGTTTAAAAGGAAACAATACATCAATGGAGAATGAACCAAGCTAGTTCTGGTCATCATGGGCGATTTGTTGCACGGAATCTTACCCATTTGATCCGCCAACCAACGGTATCCAGGTGTACTGTATCTGGCTCAAGCACACACCCCAAACCAGGAAAAACAGAATAAGAGACAACAAAGAATCCATAAAACCTGCCAGTTCTTGATCACCTTGCTCTTTTGGTCCACTTCCATGTGAACACCGTGATGGCGAGAAAGAAAAACACCACACGCTTCACGTCCCCAAACGCTTCACGTGCCTGGGCGGGGAGATCCTTCCATCGAGTGTCTGTATGAGGCGCTCCCAGTATCCCGGAGGCGTCCAGGCGTCCAGCGTGACGTCGTGAAGCCTCGGGATCGAGTGCGCGATGGCCTCCAACCGGTCGTAGCTGCTTGTTCGTAGAAATGCCCCTGTTACCAGCGATGCCCTTTGTTACTAGTAGCTGAAAAGGCTTTGATGTTTTTCAAATGGAACAAAACGCAACGTCTATTTGTTGGTCTTATCTATTTTGTGGGAACATGTATATACGGTTTTGGGATGTGCATCTTTTTTTTTGGATGGTTCGTATGTATAAGTATGTATTTATTTTTTTTTTTCATAGACTCATCGGATGGAACGAAGGGAAACCACTCCATGTGTCTTCATCTACCGGGGTGCTGCGAGGTACCCTGAGTTTGAGACAACGCTGTGGGTCTAGTCGACATATGGAAGTATACTTATATAGCTTCATGCGGCAGTTTGTACGCAAAACATCGCAAAACTACATATATAATTAAGCTCAGCAATACTCATCAATACTACTCCACACCCGCTAGGACCGCGCCCTGAGCCCTAAGGAAGAGAGTCTCTCCGGTGCCTCGGCCCATCTATCTGCAGGTGCCACGGGCCATCATGGACCAAGCAACTGATACTTGTGGCATCTTGTGGCCAGATCACCATTATTTGACACAATTCGCATCAATTCCTTTAAAGGTGGTGAACATTATATGGGGTTCCTCGATCTTTGGGGTTGAACCGGGTTGAATTCAGGAGCCTCGATGTATGGGGCGAACGGCTAGCAACAACCTGCTTTGGACCGAACACTGCAAGATATACAGTAACAAGGTGTTCACATCGAATGTGTGTCTAAGCCGAACCCAGCCCTCCAGTTTCCTCTTCCACTCTTCAACTTGCGTGGCAAAACCAAAAACCGGCCAACCAGTGCGTGGCAAACACCCAAAAGTCTTTCATGGTCACACAAAAGGTGGCTTCACAATCCCTGACAGCCTTCTGTTTACCCAAATTGGGTAACTCAGGTCAGAAGGGCCCCTTCTTCCTATAATTGTCAAGATCATGTGAGCAAATCTCTGGAAAACGTGGGAACACCTCCCGATCTGGCCAAACGGTAGACCTGAGTGGTCCCAAAACGACGTCATTCTGTGGGTTCGGCTAGCTGATGTGCTAGCGCTTCAGCTCTTTCGTTGGCGGCACTCTCCCTTGATCCTTCACCAGTTGAGATTCTCACAGCTCTAAATGCTGCCCTGTCAGTTCAGCCCAGGCGCCCTTCACCACAAAGCGCCCCAGCCGTCGCAGCCGTTGGCTCGCAGCGGCAAAGGGCGTAAAAGGCATCCGAGGTTTCGCTGCCATTGAGCGTCTGTGTGACCAAATAGCCCAACCTGGCGGTGACCAGATAGCCCAACAAGGATCAATCCTCGTCAACCCTGCAAAAGTATAAACTCAAAAGAACCCTGAAGAACCATGTCAACAAAGAGTTTTCTGTAATGTTCTATTCCTCCTGTGGTGGTCATCCCCACACTTAATCACTGGGACTAATCCCGAGTACCTGGTACTTGGTACATTTGGTACCTATCAAAAAACTATGCCATAAAAAAAGGCATGTCACACCCTGCTAAATACAGTTTACCTTTGTACGTCCGTCATTTTCTACTATATAAGTACAGAACTCCAACCAAGGTCATTATGGGGAGATATTGTTTAAGCTACCCACCCAACCCCTCACCAGCAACACGCCACATTTGCACACACATGTGCACTCTTCCCCAATAGCACGGAGCCACACAAACGCGCTTTCCACCGAGGGGTCGCCAAACCGCATGGCACACTGACACCACCTTTCAAATTTGTGGTTGAAAGATGACAAGCTAAGAATATCCAAGAATCATAATTATTTAATTAAAGGGTTGTGCAAAGGGAAAAGGAAGACCCCTTCTATCTGGAGGTGTTCTCAATTTTTGGTATGAGTTCAATAAAGGACCATAATTCAACAGAAACATCCTATAGGCCTTTTGGTTTTGAAGCTCTTCCCAGGTCTCAAAAACGCGGCGCTGCGTTTAAATAGTTCGAAGGGACTACTACCCCGGCAGGAGCGGTAAGTGCGCTCAGAATTTTCAGCATCTTGCCAGATTATGCACATTCTTTTGTTCCACTGCTCCACACTGCTCCACACTGCTCCGCAACTGCTCCCGCGCCTTTCTTCGATGAGAATCTGCAGCATGGCACTGGTGACTTCCCCTGCTGGCCGCTGAGGGGTCCAAAGACCCACTGGCCGCGGGGCACTCCCGGGCACGAGCACTGCAGAGCGCTGGGCCTCGACAAGCGCTCAGAGCCCTCGAGGTACGAAGCAAAACGGGAGTCACAGAGCTCGGGGTGGTGTGGTGTTTAGTCCCATCCAGTGGATGTAGGGGCACCCCGACTTCCAACTTCACCCGTCGAACGTGACTACTGGTGGCTTTCTCCTTTTTTCACGGCGAGCGACATGGGCGTTGTTCAGGACAATGAGCCCCATTGAAAAACCCGCCGGAAGTCAACTCCATTAACCCATTGCCGGGTGACTCAACAATTGACGTTAAGGGATTCATTCTGTAGATTCTGTGAGGGTTGTTGGGAGATGGTCTCCTGGTCGAGCGTTCCGAACGGAGGTTCCAACACGCTCTTGGAAGGAATGCATTGTTTGTCACTTTTTTTAATTGTTTTCCTCTTAGCGAGCTCACTGCATATTGTGACCCAACAGGATTACTATTGCTGGACATATATACTAATTTGTACTATGTTACTATATAATATTACGTAAGTATTACATAATTATAGTGTTTTCAATGTTTTCACTGTTTCCACTGTTCCTTGTTCCCAACCGCTCTTCTTCACAGAGGCCTAAAGTCTTGACGCACAACCACATCACAGCCATGCAAAACACCTTCTGGGGCCTCTGACGTCGTAGTGATTCCTGGATATCTTAGGAATCCAACCCGCTACTTGTTACTGCGTCTCACCACCCTACTGAAGCCTCAGGGAGCCCAGACCCAGAGCCCTTTTGAGTGCAAAAGAACCGGCAAAAAAACACCCAACACAACAGGGAAAAACCTTCCACACCACTTGGTGACATCAGCAAAGGAAGGGTACAAAAGCAATAAGTATAGAATCACCACCCAAAGGGTTGTTATTGGATGGAGCATACAGTCAGGGGATCGACAACAACCACCCGAACTGGGTGGTGCTGGTAGAAGCATACTGGTTGGTGCTGGTGACTAAAAAACCATGCGGATGCCGGCAGTAACACCCCGGGATGCCAATCACACTGCATCATCCAATCATCCTTGAAAGCAGCTCTGGAAGATGTTTCCAAGCTAACCGGTTCATGTCCGCATCCCCCTTCCAAGTCGAATCCGGACTCTTTGATGGACGCTGAGCGGCTTCTCGATCAGACTTCCAGTGGATCACCAGTGCCGTTGTTTTTCAGAATAACTACTGGGTATATCTCATGACCAGCCAGTGGATGATGATGGTGAGGTTGCAGGCCTTTCTCTAAAATAGTGATCATTGTTGAATAAAGGTTGAATATTGATGAATATATGATAGTTGATCGTTGATGAATATTGATGATCATCGTTGACCATCTCAGCTTCTGTGAATCTTCGCCGCATAATATCAGTAGCATCTGCCTCAAAACACCCAAACCATCCAAAACCTCCATGATGCATCCAGCCTAGTAGAAACAAGTGCCACGCTACTAGGAGCATCCAGCCATGTGTCCGATCCAGAAGGTCGCTCCCTCTCTGTGTTCACGCCAAGCATCCCACGGAATCGCACCAGACAAACACGCAGCATCCGCCACTGAGGCGAGCATCCAAAGCACACTGAGGCCCATAGCCATAGTTCAGGTCTTCCGGATGAAGATCTTCCAGGCACAGGACCGCCGGTCTACTTGCTCTACCGCCGGTCTACTTCCAGTGCTGATCACTTCGAGTAAAGCCAGCATCACAATGAAAGACCTGCAGTTAACATCTTCAACTATTTCCGGCTCCTGAATCATCATCGAACACCGGCTTCTATCAAAGTAACATGCGAGTCGTTTTTTGCGGCTAGTGCGGGAAGTTATACATGAACGCTTAGTGGTTACGGGATCCGACATTGAGACACCCGACACTTGCCAATGATGATGCCAAACACATGCACACCTGGGAGATCGATGTCTTGTCTTCTTTCAACAGGGTTGCACATGGTCACTCATCTCACCTGCAAGGAATAACCAAGGAACCATATCTCCAAGTACGGTTGCGGACTCACATTGGGGAACCGGAAACCACCCGAAACCACCGGTGCCATTGCCGCCCCTTTGAGCCCAAGCCAGGACAGCCATGAACCAGCAGAAACCGCGCGAAGCCGATGTCTTCTTGTTCTTATCCGTCCTCCAAGACCAATTCCAAACACTCCATGTGGGGAATATAGGTACACACATATATACTATTATTACTATTATATATATATA